AAACATTTAATGTAGTTTAGTGTTAGCACAATCTTATTAAAACAATAAGTTATGTCTAAACATTTAATGTAGTTTAGTGTTAGCACAATCTTATTAAAACAATAAGTTATGTCTAAACATTTAATGTAGTTTAGTGTTAGCACAAAGTATCCATAAATATTGTTGATTAATTTATGTCTTTCATGTACAGTTGCGATATATAGTAAAAACGATTGTGCTTCGTTTGTTTCAACAGGTTATTTGTTTCTGTGGATAGAATACAAGTTATTTATTACTTTCCTTAAAACAGCTACAAGTTATTTGTTCTTCTGGTTAAAATATCTACTGGTTCTATTGAAAATCATCCGTTACACCTTTATGTAAAAAAGAACAACAATTATAAGTTTCTATTCTGACATAAAATATTATTATTTCTGAGTATTACATATATTTATAGTTTCTCAACGTGAGACACATTTATTTACTTACCAACTGCAAGTACTGAAGCAAGAAACAGAATACAGACAGCTAGAATGTTCCAACTTCCCGCCATTTCCACAGTCACCCACCTTCCCGTGAGGCCTCAGTCTTTGTTGCAGGAAGATACCAGTGTTAAGCGTCACTATTACCGTAGATCTTACGTTCAGTCTAAGCTCTACCGTTCTTCCTACACTTCCTTAACTTGTTTAATTCTTGTTAGAAACTTCTTATGGTTACAATAAATCTTACAAAATGTCTAAACCAACACTCGGTACGATACTTTAATCACCAAGTTCTTGTTTACAATAGTTACACTGCGGCAAAATGTCTTCTACTAAACACAAGAAACAACGCCACCTTACGGTAATATTAAAGAAAAATCTAAAACATTACATAATTAATGTAGAAAAATTACGCAGTGTTTTGGATTAAATATATATATATATATATTTAAAGATTTAGTTAAATAGGGTTAACAAACAAACTAGTGTGTAATTTTTAAAAGTTATTTTCTTCCTACTTGTTTTATATATCATCAACACAACTGTAACCGGAATCAATTAATTACAACCAGAACGTCTACTCAACTGTTTTAGAACCGAATTATTTCTTTAACTTTCTCAAAACTTTATTGTGTATTAAACAAGTTGAAAGTTGTTTATAAAAATAAGTAAAGCTTTGTTCTAAAACAATGTGATTTACAAGAATTAAACTGTTTGTTTTAGAGTAAAGCCACACTGGATTATCTGCTGTGTCTAGCGCGATAAATCGAACCCAGAATTATAGAACTGTAAGTCCATAAAATTACCGTTCTCCCACCGTAAAATATACTTATAACAAAATTACATATATTATAACTTGTAGTTTACTGGATACAGATATTATAACTTGTAGTTTACTGGATACATATATTATAACTTGTAGTTTACTGGATACAGATATTATAACTTGTAGTTTACTGGATACAGATATTATAACTTGTAGTTTACTGGATACAGATATTATAACTTGTAGTTTACTGGATACAAATATTATAACTTGTAGTTTACAGAATACAGATATTATAACTTGTAGTTTACTGGATACAAATAGTATAACTTGTAGTTTACTGGATACAGATATTATAACTTGTAATTTACTGGATACAGATATTATAACTTGTAGTTTACTGGATACAGATATTATAACTTGTAGTTTACTGGATACAGATATTATAACTTGTAGTTTACAGAATACAGATATTATAACTTGTAGTTTACAGAATACAGATATTATAACTTGTAGTTTACAG